TTCCGCAGTAAATTTTTATGTGTATGAGTGTTTTGCCTGCTTGCATGCAAGTGCACTTATGTCATGCAATTCCCACAGAGGCCATAAGTGGGTGTTAGATCCCCTGGATCTGGAGTTATGGATAGATTATTAGCTGCCATGTGGGTGCTGAGTACCAAATCCAGGTCCTTTGCAAGAGCAACCAGTGCTCTTAACTGCTGAGCCATCTCTCCAGTCCCTGGATTTCCATTTTGAATTTACGTTTTTCTCCAAGTGGGACATTTAAGGAGCATTAATGAGGTCATTTTAATTTTAAACTGGTGTGTGTTTAATATACACGTATCTTGTATGACTGATGATTACTGATGTTGGCACACTTAATTCCTGTAACTAACTGCATCAGTTAATGACTATTACAGAATTACCAGGTAGCCAATTGCCACAAAGCTTTGGGCACGTGCATGACAACAAACATTTCTTCTGCTCATGCAGCTGTGGGTAACTCAGAGTTGGGCATTCTTGGCAGGATAGCTGACTGTGGGTTAGCTCTGCGACTTTCTCACCCTTTGCGACCAGCAGGGCTTTCTAGGCATGTCTTTCCTGTTGCAGTGTAGATTCAGGAGAACAAGGGAAAACATTTAAAAATATTCTATTTATTTTATTTTATGTGTATGAGTGCTTTCCCTGCATGTATGTAAGCGCACCATGTGTGTGCAGTACCTACAGAAGTCAGAGGAGGAGGTCAGATTCTCTGGACTGGAGTTATGGCCTCTGAAAGCACCCCCTTTTTTTTTTTTTTTTTTTGAGATGAGTTCTCACTACGAGGCCTGATTGGCCTGGAACTAGTTGTGGAGATCAGGCTGGCCTCAGACTCATAGAGATCTGCCTGCTTCTGCCTCCTAGAGTGCTGGGATTAAAGATGTTTGCCACCGGCTCCACTTGTATTTTTTTTGTTTCATTTTTATTTTTATTTTTATTTATGTGTATGTGTGCATTAGTGTATGCCACAGTATGTGGGTGCCCATAGAGGCCAGAAGAAGGTCTCAAATTCTCTGGAGCTGAAGTTTCAGGTGGTCGTAAGCCTACTGAAGTGGGTACCAGAAACAGAACTCAGGTTCTCTGGAAGAGCAGAAAACACTCTCTGTTGTTGAGCTATCATTCTAGCCCCAACACTTTTATTTTTAAAATACCAGAAATGGTTCACTGTCATTTCCAGAGTATCAGTTAAGGCAAGTATAATGGTCAAATCCAAAGCCAAGGAATGGAGAAATGTCCTCCGTCCCTTTAAAGGGAAAAACTGCAAAATCATGTGTCAAGAGCCTGGATTTGGGGAGGGTGAAGAATCGGGACTGGTTATTCAAGAGCATCAATTCCTTTAATGTAGTAGTTAGTATATAATTAGGTGTACATATCTAATGCATGTAATGTTATGTGTTTTCACATATGTGAGCTCCCACGAAACATCCCCATGGTGTTCATGCACCCGATGCCTGTTCATCATAAGAATGTCCTCCTGCTGTCCTACCTTCTTTCTTCTTCTTCTCATAAGTCTACGGAACAAAGGATCTGCCCTCTTCACAAAGAATTAGCTGGGCATGGTGGTTCATGCCTCTAATCCAACCATTTGGGACACTGAGATAGGTAGGTCACAAATTCAAGACTAGCCTGGGCAGCCCAGTGAGATCTTGGTTCAAAAAAAAAAAAACCATTGAATTTATAAATGGCTTTTGGTAGGATGGTCATTTTCACAATATTAATTCTTCCAATCCATGAGCATGGGAGGTCCTTCCATGTTCTGATGTCTTCCTCAATCTCTTTCTTTAAAGATTTAAAAATTTCATTGTAAAGATCCTTAATGTCTTTGGTCAGGTTTATTCAGAGATACTGGAGGGCAATATGAAGGTGCCAAGGGAAAGCATCAATCGGTGGTCCAACACCAGCTTCAAGACCAAATAACCACATCAGTGGCCGGTACACCATTCTACTCTGTTCTGTGAATTTGATGATTCCAGAGTCAACATCTAAAGAGTATGTAATATATATTATATTGGTAAATTGTCATGTGCTATTTGGACTCTCTAAGAAGCTGGGTTTGGAAGCTGGGTTGCCCCTCACCCCTACTTCAGACCCAAGCATATCTATGTCAAGTGTCCTCCAAGAACCCCATCTAGGGGTGGGCTCTCCCCCAACTCAGTGACAGGGAGGAAAGAAAGCAAAACGGCCTGTATTAGTTACTTTCTGTATGATAAAACATGATGACCAAGGGAATTTATAGAAGGAAGAGTTTATTGAGCTTAAGGTTCCAGAGGGATAGGAGTCCATCATGGTGGGGAGGTGTGGTGGCAGAGGCAGCTGGAGCAGAAAGCTGAGGTCTCACATCTTCAAGCACACACAGGAAGCAGAGAGACAGACTGGAAATGGATGTGGCTATGAACTCTCAAAGCCCACCCCGGCATGGTCACACCTCCTTAAAAAATATTTTATTACTTTAATTTTATTTTATTGAGTGTGTCCCTTGCATGTATGCAAGTGGACCTGTACTGTAAAATGCCCATGGAGGTCAGAAGAGGAGAAGAGGGTGTCGGATCCCCTTGAACTGGAGTTAAGAATAGTCGTTAGCTACCATGTGGGTGCTGGCAATCCAATCCAGTCCTCTTCAAGAGCAGTCAATACTCTTAACAGCTGAGCCATCTCTTCAGCCCCAATGGTCACACAGAGGTGTGACCCCCACCCCCACCCCCAACAGCTCTACCAAGTGGAGACAAGTATTCAAATACTTGTAGCTTGTGAGGGACATCCTCATTCAAACCACCACACAGCCTGAGTAAAAACATTGTGCCCTTGAGAACAGTCAGAAGCAAATAGTTTTTTTTAAATTTTATTTATCATTTTATTTTATGTGTATGTGTGTATTGCCTGCATGTAGGTAAGTATGTGAGCCAAGTGGGCCTAAAGATGGAGGCCATCCCTGGCTCTTTAAGCCCAACACAGCTTAGTGTCCAGATGGGAATGAGACTTTCAGAACCCCATACCTCAGTCCACGGAGCCAGTGACCAAATCGCCAGGGAGCCTCCTGCCTATTACTTTATACCGTCCACTTACTTTGGCCTGTCTGAGGTGTGCTAGGCCTTCGGTGGCACAGTCATGTGGCCATACAGGATGGAGAATTGCAGTGTGGCTCCTCAGAGGCCCAGAGTAAGCCCAAGATCTGGCTCTTCTGGCAACACTGAGCACATTTGGAATGTTTTGATCACCATCTGTTCCATAACAGAGGCAGGATGCCCTCTTAGACCTCTGTGCCCTTCCTGTCCAGCACAGGGCATGGTCAGGACTGTACATCCAGGAAGTGGGAGGCAGGGCTACCTTAGTCCTTCATGTCTGACTGGGCCCTCTTCTGAGAGGTCTCTTCCTCCCTGGTCATCCTGTGGCTGTCTCCATGCTCCTACTTGTGGATCCTGACAGACTCTGTTCTCTGTCTTCAAAGCTTGCCGGCTGACTCCTCTCAGCACTTACAGTGCTCTCTCTCCCTAGGCCATCCTTCCCACTTCATTCACCTGCCCAGTTTATCTCACCACTCTTGGGATTACTAGATGTTGCCTGCTGACTGAATCCAAGGCCATCTCTTCCAGAAAGCCTTCCTGGTTTTTCTTTTGGGGTTCCTCTTCCCTTCACCAATGCATCCAAGGGGACCTCTCTGCCCTCAGACCAGTACGGTCCTTTGAACTGTGGGCTCTGGCTATCACTTGGCTGTGTCTGGCAGTGGACTGGGCTCAGGCCAACACCTATAGAAGGGAAGAGACTGTCCTCTGGGCAGATGGATCATCCTGGTTGGAATCTTGGCCCTGCCATTCAGTGGTTTGGCAAAACTATTCCCACTATGAACTGGATGATGAGTGAAATGGCTTCCTGAGTCCAGAAATGAGAGTCTAGACTACCTAGATGCACAGCATACTCCCTAACTCATGAAGGGAGAGAGGGCAGGGTTTGTCTGCCTGGCTCTCTGTCATCTCCCATTCCCCATCAAATTTACCCTATGATGATTAACCCCCCACAAGTCTAGGGGGTCTGTGGCTACATGAGATGCTAGATCCCGTATCCTGTGGTGGGAAATTCTGTCCCAAGGCTTGTGGGAAGAGAAAGATGGGGGATGCTGTCAGGGAGACTCTGCTGTGGAGTGAAGGAGATGTCCAGTGCAGCCCAGAACTCTTTTCCTTGTTTCCCAAAAGATGAAAGTAGTGAGTTTCTAAGACTTCCACCAAAGCCACTTGGCTCGTGAGTGGTAAAGTTCAAGATCTGAACATGGCTTAGCTCTGGAAACGGTAGGAAGACCAGGGTCAAGAACTTGGTTTTATTAAGCATACGAAACAGGCATGAGATAAAGAGCTTTTAATGAAAGGCGTCGATCTCTGTGCACCCTCTTTTCAGCTGGCTAAATGGCAGCAGTAGGTGGCCCTGGAGGTGAGGGCACCACAGACCATTTTTGAGGGTTTTGTGGAATCCACAGTGGGGTCTAGAGCTTCATTTGAGCTCCAATACTGTCTCCTAATCTTCTTCCACGTCCTTCTCTTCTAAAGCTTCATCTACCGAAGAGATGAGCAGGTCAGATGCAGAAGGATCTGGGTAGATAAACCGAAAGGAGGAAAAGAACAAGCCATCTGTCTATCCACTGTTGGCTGATGCTCTAAGGATCCTGAAGCCATTGCTGAATCCTTTGGTGCTGCTGGAACTGTCTGTCACAGTGATCACATGTATGTGATCAGTATCTGATGTATATCCTTGTATGCCATCTAAGCTCATCAGAGAGAAGACCTGCATGACACCCTTCCCAGCTACACCTACACAGCGCATCACATTCCACCCTGGTGCCTCAGCAGGTATTAAATACCTCAACATCTCTGTGCTCTGAGGAAAGTCTCTTTTTCTTTAAATTTTTAAAATTTTATTTATTTAATGTGTATGAATGTTTTGCCTGCATGTATGTAAATACAATGCCTGCAGAGGCTAGAAAAGGGTGTTGGATTCCCTGGAACTGGAGTTACAGACAGTTGTTAGCTATCATGTGAGTGCTGGGAATTGAACATGGGTCCTCTGGCAGAGCAAGTGTTCTTAACTGCCGAGCCATCTCTCCAGCTCCTGAGGAAAGTCTTAATGTCTGGTGAACCATGGTGCCAAGAGGTATACATCCCACTGCTTCTGGAAGACAGAGACATAGCCAAGCTGGACAGTGACCCCAGTATGTGCTAGTGTCTGTCCTGCTGCCTTGGCACCTCACCATCCTGACTATACCAGCCGGGGGTCTGCTGCACACGGGGCCTTTGGGGGTCCAGGCACACTGCCATGTTCCACACTGCCATATTCCATCACATCACGCCCATGTTCCCTTTTGTGCTGGTGGACCTGTGGGTGTTGCCGCATCTCAGATACCATGACTCATACCCAGTGGGCATGGGCGGGCATGCATGTCTTTCTGAGTCTGACTTCAATTCTTTGTGTACACCCTCAGTGGGGTTCCCATAGCCTATGGTAGTTTTATTTTAGGTTTGTTTTCTATCTGTTTCCATAGTGACTGTCAGTTGGCATTTGAACCTGTGTACAAGTGTTTCTTTTTCCCCATATCTTTGCTAACATATGCTATTATTATTATTTAGATAGGATCTTGCTTTGTAGCACAGGCTGGCCACTGCCTGATTCTCCTGCCTTTGTATCCCAAGTGCTTTAAAAAAAATAATAGTTGTCATAAGTGTGAAGGGACTTTTCATGGTGATTTGACATTGTATTTCCCTGATGATTAGTAATGTTGAACACCCTTTCATATTTCTAATTATTTCTGTGCCTTCTTATAAAAAAAGTCTATTCAGTTCTTTTGACTTTTGTAATTGGGTTACTTGCTTTCTTGCTATTAATTATATGTAAGATGAAGTTGGCTGTCTATATAAAATGGGTTCCACACCCATAGATTTAACTAACCAGGAACTCAAAAGTAGATACAGCATGCATTTATTTGTACTGAGCACCTATCAATGTTTTCTTTTCTTTTAAAAAAAGACATTTATTTTATGTGTATGCATGAGTGCCTGTGTTGTTATGTATGATTAATAATACAAATATGTACTATTTGCGTGCAGGTGCCTACGGAGGCCAGGAGAGGGCATCAGATTCCCTGGAACTGGAATTATAGAAGGTTGCAAGTTGCCATGTTGGTGGTGGGAACTTGGGTCCTCTGTAAGAGCAGTAAGTGCTCTTTAACTGCTAAGTTTCCTCTCCAGCCCCTGCAGACATTCCTGTATCACTGCTCCATGAACAGTACAATGCAGCAGCTATTTATACACCTTTTATGTTGCACTAGGCGTGATAAGTAACCTAGAGGTAATTGAGTGTATGCAAAGTTCTGAGTGGGTTTACATTGAACTATTATGCTCTTGTAGTGAGAGGTGAGTATTCATGGATTCTGGTACCTGCATGGCTCCTTGAATAAACCCTTCACAGTTACCTATGGATGGTAAGAATTAATCTAAAAACTCAGTCACTCAAGTTATAATGAAGGCAAAGAGGATAAAAGGAAATGAAAATTCATATGGCTGTGCAGTTTTTTCCCACAAGCCCATGAGAATTCCAACCAGTTCATTGTGATTTAAACACCCAGTGTTTCATAGATGTAAAAAAAAAGAAGCAAGTGGAAACTAGAAAGTAAAGTGCTTCCTTTAGCATTTTGCAGACAATAGATTTAAGCAGGCTCATAAATTAAAATGTTGGTATGTTCTTTTGATTATAAGAGAATAAATCTACGTGCTATTATTTTATTTTTTAACTTAAAATTTTTGCATTTAGTAATTAATTAGTGCACACTCATGCCATGGTGCCTGTGCTCGTGTTGGGGGAACAAATTGTAGGGGTGGCTCTTTCCTTCTACCATGTGGATTCTGGGGATCAAACTCAGGTTATCAGGCTTGGCAACTGCATCTTTACCACCTCAGACATCTTACTGGCCCTTATTTTCCAACTTTAAAGATTTCAGCAAAAGTCTGTTATTTCCTTTGGAATCATCTTTTTTCTTGACTTTGTGGTCAAAGCTTAAAAGTTTAAATAACACAAAGCATCATTGCTCCTATAGCCAAAGTGTACAACGTGACAGATGAGTGCTAGCAAATTCTGCTTGAAAGCAAGTGGAGAATAATCATAAATACAAGAGAAAATGGAAACTTTATAGAGATTTTGTGTTATTCAGTGAGAAGAAAACCCAATATTCTCCACATCTGGACTACCATCACATCTGAAAGCCAGATGAAAAGAGCGGCAGCTGTATCCATGGAAACGTGAGGCAGTGCTGGGGAAAAGAGACAGCATGAATCACAGGTGGGAAAAGTCATAATGACACAGCAGAGAAAGGGAACTGTGGGTAAAGCCTAAAACTAGACCAAGAGAGGGTAAAATAGGTGATGGTGTGTGTGTGTGAAAGGACGTATGGGTGTGAAAGAGGAAAAGAGACAGTAGGGATCTTGGGGAGTGTATTCATCACTTTTCTGTTGCTGTCACAGAAACACCATGACTGAGGGAATTCATAAAAGGAAGAGTTTATTTAGCGCAGGGTTCCAAAGGGGCAAGAGTCCCATCATGGTGGGGAGGCCAGGCGGTAGACGTGGCTGGAGGAGGAGCAGAAACTAAGCTCTCACACCTTCAGGCACAGGAAGCAAGAGAGTGACTTGAGATCCAACAAGGCTTAAGACCTTTCTTAGCCAGGCCCCAGTGACATGCTTCCTCCAGCATGGCCGCATCTCCCAAGACCTCCCAGAACAGCACCACCAACTAATACTTGGAGCCTATGGGGGACATTCTCATCCAAACTGCCACAGGGGTTTGGACTAGCAGGGTGGGGAGTGCGGGGGAGAAGAATCACTGGCACACACTTCATTCATGACATAATGGTGTCTAATACCTTGCATGATAATTGAAAGAAACACAGCCCCCACAGCTGGGATGATGAGGCAGCATAGCACACTCAGCACTTGGGAAACCCAACCAAGATGGTTACTGTGAGTTCTAGTCCAAGCTGGGCTACATAGAGGCTACATAGTCTCAAAAATAGGAAAAAGAAGGGTCAGTGCGATGGCTCAGTAGGTAAAAAGGCACCTGCTGCTGAGCCTGACAATCAGAGTTCAAGTCCTTGGGTCCACGTCGTGGAAGTGAAGAACTGACTCCTGTAAGTTGTCCCCTGACCTCCATTCATGAAGCTTGGCGTCCATGGAGCTCCCTCTTTATAAATAAGTAACATGTAAACACGCAAACAAAACAACCGAAAAAGAAACACCAGCAGTAGCAACAACAAAACCAGCCATGGGACAGCGCAGCCCGAAAACACAGATGTGTGATCAAGAGGTAAGCCCTGCCTCACTGGCCGTGGTTGGTTTCAAGGGGCTTGCTGCGAAAACGTGAGTTTATGCAGTTGAGCTGCAAGGAGGCTTTCTGTTTGAACTGAGGTAGCCAAATAGATCACAACACAATAGAATGCAGCCTATGTAACACTGTGAGGTGGAACATGTACAGTATAATATTTCAATTTATAACACAGGGATCATCAGTGAAAGAGTGTGCTGACTTTACCACAGAGAAGGTAAATGTGAACATGACTGGAAAGTAAAATCAAAGAGAAACGTGAGCAGATCTGTGATGCGTTGGCTGACCTGCACTTTATGATACAGACCTCTGTAGACGAGGCTTCAGATCCTCTGTGAATTCCAAGGCCACCGATAATACAGTATTATGCTTAGCAAGAGCATGGAACTGTGATCCCCAAGCAGAGCTGGATTGGGACCCTAGGTATGCTGTGTCTCCTCCTCCTCCTCCTCCTCCTCCCCCCCTCCTCTTCCTCCTTCTCCTCCCCCCCCCCTTCTCCCTCCTCCCTCATTTTTTCGTGTGTCTGTGTACCATGTGTGTGTGTGTGTGTGCGTGTGTGTGTGTGTGTGTGTGTGTGTGTGTGTGTGTGTGTGTGAGCACTTATGCCTGTGTGGAGGTCAGAATCTGAATACAACCTCAGGTCATGGTCCTGCCTGCCACCTTGTTTGAGACAGATTCTTTGTTGTGTCTTCTCCCCCACCTCAGCTGCAACCTCCAGGCTGTGTGGATGATGAGCTTCCCGGTCCCGTCTCCACCTGCCATCTCCCTGTAGGAGTGTTTAGGCTACAGTGTCTGGATTTTATATTGGTTCTGGGGATCTGAACTTAGGTCCTTATGTTTGCATGGCAAGCACCGTTACTCAATGAACCATTCCTCCAGCACCTCGGTCTCCTGTTTCTTACCTAGTGTGAGGTTAGTTTTTGTCAACTTGATACAAACTATAGATACCTGGGAAGCAGGAACCTGGAGGAATCTCCTCTATCATATTGGCTGTAGTCATGTCTGTGGGGCATTTTCTTGATTGCTGGTTGGTGTAGGAGGGCCCAGCCCACTGTGGGCAGGCGGGCCTGGGCTGTATAAGGAAGGTAAGCTGAGTGATCCAGAGGAAGCAGGCCAGTAGGCAGTGATCTTCCATTGTCTCGGCTCCAGTTCCTGCCTCCGGGTTCCCACCTTGATTTTCTGCCCTGGCTTCTCTCAGTGATGGACTGTGACCCGGGAGCTGTGAGCTGAAATAGACCCTTTCCTCCTCTGGCATTGGTCAGTGTTTTATCACAGCAACAGAGAAAAAAATTAGAGCACCTGGCGTGGGTGGCATTGGGCCAACTGTCCAAGATCCACTATATGGCTAACAATATTTATTTGGTGGGTGTGTTTGCTGGAATTTGTGTTTTGGAAGCTTAATTCCTGAAGTCATGTGTTAGTGATATTCAGCAGTGGGGCCTTTGGAGAGAAGAAGGATTAGACAAGATCATGTGGTTGCTGCTCCCACAACTACACTGTTGGGTATATGTTTACCCTGTGCTTTCCAGGGATCTACAGAGTCTCTATCTTTTCCATCTTCAGAACTGTAAGAAAACATTCTTTTATTTTTATATTTCCAAGTTGGTAGATTAAATAATAGCAAAAGTGGACTAGGGTGTTACTTCATAATCTTGTGAAAATATTAAAATAAGTACATAATCAAAGCACCTACCCAGTGTCTAGTTGTGGAGTGAAACCACACCAAATGCTGGCCATCACTGCTAATACCTCGCATTCATCCACAACAAAGAACTTAGGTTTGAAAATGTGCATTTCTCATCTTAGAGAAAAGACTAAAGTGAAAAGTCCTCACGCGTCTGGCTCATCGTTAATTAAATGGCAAAGATTTCGTAGGAATGCCGCTGGATCATTCTGCTGTGTGTTGTCCCTTTTTACTATTATATTAAGTTTTGAAGTTAGCATACAGAGTAATGGGTTCTGTTACGACATTTTCATTTGTGTGCATGCTTGTGTCACACATCTCTCCTGGAGTAGCCATCCTTATGCTCTTCTGTCATGTTATTCTATGACTTCCTCCCTGTCACGGTCCCCTTTCCAACATCATGACCCCCCCAAACACACACACAGAGTCATACACACACAAACACGCGCTCACACACACAGACTCATACACTTACATACATACATACATAATACATACATACACACATATACATACATATACATATACACATACACGATACAAAATATTTTATTTATTATTGTCAATTGTTTTTGAATTTTTTGTGTATTTCATATAGAACAGCACAAACAATCTTAATCATCTTTATACCCCCATCCCCACTGGCACCCTCCCATACCCACTGGAGCCCATATACTCAGTCATCCCTGTTAAGGCCCCCATTGGGTTGTCAGTGTTCCCAACCGTTCCCCAGAGCAAGTCTGTCCACTAAGTCTAGTCAGCCTATCTAGAGACCTTTGTTTTAGGAAGATCAGCTCTTCCTCATCTAGCAGCAATCAGTTGCCAACATTCCTTTAGATAAGACTGGGGTCTGCTGTTCATTTTCCCTGTTCTGTGCTGGGTTATTGTCTGCCTGAGTTTGCATGGGACTTGTGTATGCTGACACCGATGCCATAGAATCATATGAGCAGGTTCCCAGGAGCTTGTAGGACTGTGTTTCCATATGGTCCTGCACCTCCTCCTGGCTCTTACAATCTTTCTGTCCCCTCTTCTGAGATGGTCCCTGAGCCTTGGGTGGGTGAAGTTTAATAAAGGGGCCCTGTCCAAGGACCAACATTCAGCAGATTCTTGATCTCTATACTTTGGCCATTTGTGACCTTTTGTGTTCCTGGCCCTCTGCTGTACGAGGAGCTTCATTAGTGAGAATTGAGTCCTTAGTGTCCTCTTCATTGTCCCTGCTCTATGTTCCATGAGCCTTAGGTGTAGATGTTGCATTGCAGATGTGTCACTTAGGCCTAGGAAATTCATAGACAATGTCTGTGTATGACCAGTTGTGGTACTTGGTCTCTGACAGGTGCAAAATGAGCTTCTTTAATGTGTAGTGACTGGGATATTTGTCTGTAAACATAAGGATACGTATTTTGCACATAGTGAGAAATCACATTAGTCTTGGCAGTCTTGGGGTTTTCTCTAAGCTCTATGGCCACTCCAGCCATCTGTATTAGGTTATGTTTACATTACCACGCTTGAGTTTACTTCCTTTGAGTGGGTGCTTAGTCAAATTAGGTAGCTGTTGATTGCCCCCAAGATAAGAGTGCACTACTACACCAATGACTATGCTGTGCTGGCCATTGATGTGGTTATTTGGTCTTGAAGCTGGTGTTGGACCAC